AACCAACAACACTGAATATTTTTGTTGAGGAGGAACCAAAAAATTCTATTTTGAAAGGAAAACCACCTACCATTGAGGTGGTAACTAGGAAGAAAATTCGACCTTACTGGAAAAGACCGAGAAAGAAAGCTGAAACGTGTCCTAACATGGTATTTGAATATAAAACACGGGATACTCACGATCCCATTTAAAACAGAAAATAAAATAAAAATGACGTCGTGCCGCGACATTAAATCAAGCGCTTCTTGGGAGGCAACCCAAGTTTGTATTTGGATCATTTTCATTTATTTTCTTGTGTGAGTAAAGTTTAAAAATATATATATATATATAAAAGGCCAGACCCGGCCGGGTAACTTGATAAACCCGGTCGGATCTAGCACAAAAATTTTTCACCAGCCCTCCACCCGACCGACGCAAGCTACATTTCCTAAAAAATTTGAAATTACCCGACCGGGTAACTCCAACACACCCGGCCGGGTACCTAAATTTTTTTAGTACCGGACCACTGCTTTGCAAATCCGGCCGGGTCAAACCACATACCCGGCCAGACAAAAAAATAAAATAAAATAGTCGAAATTAACTAATACCCGACCGGGTACCTTACTCCACCCGGCCGGGTTTCCATTCCAGTAGCCACTGGATAAGAAAATTTGAACAACCCGACCGGGTATTATATCCCACCCGACCGGGTGAACGGGAAATCAGCTTTACCAGGTCGGGCTCCCCTCTTCCCCTCCCATTCTTCTTCTTCTTCCTACGAACCAACCCCCCCAAATCCCCCATTTTTTAGCACAAAAAGCTTCGAATCTACCCCATTTCTCCACCAAATCAACCAAATAACATCATTTTCTTCATCTCCTCTTCACCCTCTTCCACCCTATACCCATAAATCCCTCCCAAAACAACCAAATCACTCAAACCCATAAACCCTACCCCAAGGTCCGAAAATCCCCAATTTTGGACATCCAAGGTCCGAATTCTTCCCAAAAAACCTCAACCAACACCATATTCCTACTCTTCTCACCACCCTCTTCAACAACATACCCATAAAAACCCTCCAAACTTCACCCTAGCCAAAAGTCCGAAAATCCTTCAAGAAAAACCAAAAAACAAAAAAATCAAGTTCAATGGCTCCAAGAAAATCAAAAGGCTCTTCCTCAAGGGGTAACCGAGCTATACCACCGGTGCCGGGCTATGAGAATGTGGATTTGGCTACGGAGGGTCAAAGGGAAAGCTTTATCAACCAAACAAAGAGGGAGGTAAAACAATCCTGTTTTATGTGCTTAACTACTTTAGCACTCCTATGGATTGATACCGTGATGCGTAACATATTTGCAAGAATTGGAATGACTAGAATTTTTGAAATGCAATATGTGACATATCCTCATTTGGTATATGAATTTTTTAGCTCATTTCCGTATACAAAAGATGTGGATGATCATGCAAATGACACCATCACCTTTCGTTTACTAAATGAGAATCGTTCATTAACCAAAAGGGAATTTGCTCAACACTTTGGCCTCCCATTGTTTGATGAAGCACGTACATATGATTCTCTTGTGGGATATGAGTTGTGGAAGAGAATGACAGGAAAACCTGTGGTTGATCTTTCTAAGCTGAGCGTGAACCGTGTGCAACATCCGGTCTTCCGACTATTCTTAAAATTTTGCTCAAATTGTTTTCTCGGAAGACCGAATAATCACCACACGCGTATTTGGGATGTGTGTGTTCTAGCACAAGCCGTTTTGCCGGGTCCAGATCAAGTCGATGTTGCCACCATCTTATGGACTCATTTCTACAACGTGGCAACATCAACAGGACCAATTGTGATGGGGGGCCTAATCACACATCTAGCCACTTTATATGGTTTTATAGACCCCGGCCCCATCACCTCAAGACAACTTATTTGCATTGAATGGCTTGTAACAAAGACCCTAGACTTGGTACCCTCTCACAAAACACCAACCGGGGCACAAGTCTATATAATTGGCGCATCCTCCCACGCAATTCCATCTACCTCCAAATACCCTCGGCCGACGTCCCCCTAAATATCCTTGATCACCAAATCGGGGATGGTCATCACTACTGTCTTCCCGGGGCAATTCCAGATCATTATGAAGAACCCATCCAAAATGAAGATGATGAAGAACCCCCACTCATACCCGAACAACCCCCACTCATGCCTGAACAACCGCAACCTCAAGCATTTCACTACACACCTTTCGAGCAACAAATGCTCGATAACATGGCCATGCTCAACAACAACTACACCCGACTTCGGGATGAAGTTGGACTATATCGTACTGAGCACAGACAGAGCTTTGAGCGGATGGAGGAGCAGCGGCAGGCAGACTGGCGCAGATATGAGGAAGACCGAAGGAGAGACGAGGAGGACCTACGGAGGACCTATTGTCCTATTTATTCCTATGTGGCACATCAGGGTAGATTTGCATCTATGGCCACTCCTCCTCCCGCACCCTCTTTTTATGATCCCACTGCATGGGGTTATTTTGGCGGCTCGAGTTCCGGTGGTGGAGGAGATGATGGTAGTTATGGCAGGGATCACATGGATGAGGACAGACACCATGATGGAGGTATGGGCGGGCACTAGGGACAGTGCAATGAACTAGCTGGGGGGGAGACTTTTCTGGTAAGCTTACATTCACACTCTTTACTTTTATTCAAAAAAAAAAATAGCTTGTTAAGTTGAAAACCCACAAAGGGCAACTTAGGCAAAAATAAGCAAAAATAAGAGTGAGTTTGTGAGGATTAAAATAGGAAAATGTGGGAAGCTGGGATGAAAACCCGAAAGGGCACCTAGGCAAAATGAGAGAATGAGAGAAACTATTTCTTTTGACTTTGCAGGATCCTAAGGGTGATGATGAAAGGAAGTTCGTTGGTGAGAGAACCGATTTTGAAGACCCCTTGATGGTGGGGATATTGTGTAATCATTTTTGCTTCTAGATACACTTTATGGTGGTTGCTTTGACACTTTTGTTTTGAAGACTTCATGGACATGATTTGTTTTACTCGAGACGAGTAAAAGTTCAAGTGTGGGGATATTTGATATGCACTAGTTAGTAGTGCATAAATGTGTATTTTTATATCTTTTTTTGTGTGGATTGTTTACCATTTGTGTGTAGTTGTAAACATTTGTTTACTTTTTATTTGTAAGTGTTTTTAGCTTTTATTTGTGGGTTAGGAAGTTTTGATAGAATTGTTGGCAAGGAAAAGGAAGAAAAACAAGGAGAATGCTGCCCAGAAGTATAAACCCGACCGGGTAGAAACCTTCACCCGGTCGGGTTTGAATTAACATTTGCAGTCTCCAGGAAATTGCTTGGCCCGGTCGGGCCCTATACCTCACCCGGTCGGGTGAGACTTGACCGAAGACAACCCGACGTGCTGAAGAACACTAGAACGTGGAAAATATTTGATTCGGACCGGTACCCGGTCGGGTAGGTACTCTACCCGGTCGGGTACTCGGCCAAAGGTGTTGGAAAACACCTATAAATAGCACACTTTTCCTTCACTAAAAAGAATCCCTTCTTCCATACTCTTAAGCTCAGTTTAGAATAGTATTTCTTTTATATTTTTATAGCATGTTTAGTCTCCAAATGAGGAGCTAAACTCTTCCATCTTGGTTTTGCTCCTTTGAAGCTTAATGAATTTGTAAGTTGTGAGTTATTATCTTTAATCTTCTTTCTTGAATATTAATTCTTTCTTTAAATACTATTTCTATATCAACGTTGGGGAGTGTTACTAAGATGACAATTAGATAACATCTTGACATTAGTTATAGTAATAGTTATTTCTTCCTCTACGTTAATATCGGGGAGTGTTACTAAGATGACAATTAGTTAACATCTTGATATTAACTAAAGTAGGATTCATCTTCTTTAATATTCTTTCTTGAGTATTAATTAATTCCTATTCATATTTCATATTAATATTTTGAACATTACTTAAAGGATCAACTAGTTTTGTTTCATATATTAATTATTACTAGAATCAATCGGTTAATACGCTTGTTATTAATTCGGTTCTTTCAATGGTAGTAAACTTGGGTTGTTAATGCATGCTTCTCATGATTAATAAACCAAGGGGAATTAATTATATTGATTAAACCAATAAACCGCTTGTGTTGAGGTTATCAATCTCAATCGTTTTCATCTTGATTTTATTGCTACTATCAAGTTAATATACGGCGCTTGTTCTATATTGACTCGGTAGTAAGTTTTATTAATGAACGCGTCTCGTTATTAATAACTACCCTCGATGAACTGGATATACTCCTCGATTGAGTATTCGAGAGGAAGATAGTTAAATATATAACCGGGATCGACGAACATTTCATTAAGTGGATAAAAGCAAAACCACGTCTCCTTCTCATTAATTAAACCACATAACTCGTTCATCTTCGTGCTTAAATATAATTTAAGTTCATCAACCAAATATAAAACCCCCCTGTTATTACTTATTTATTTCTATAAAAAGAGAAGTATTCCTTTCCCTGCGGATACGAACCTTACTTCACTATACTACGTAGCAGTGTTGTATTGTATTTATTTTGAGTGCACCTCACGACAAGTGCACGTCATAACACTTGATCACCCGTACAGACCGATCAAGTCTCTAAAATGGATGCATTTTCACTAGGCAATGACAACAGACCTCCTATCCTGTGAAGAGGAGAATATATGATGTGGACAAATCTGTAACACTCCGATTTTACGAGCTAGTTATATTAATCATTATTATATATTTTAGTCAGCTAAATAAGTTACTTGTGTGAATAATGTGATATTTTGTTTTCAAGTTTTGTCTGTGGCAGGTAACGTTGACTGGTAAGCTCCAACATTTTCAAGTGAAGAAATAATCGATAGTATATATTTTATTAGTATAGTATTAAGAGGTAGAATATAATAATTCGGTTGGGTCAGATTCAATTTATTTAGAAGGCTAAGAGACTCAAATCAATTATCTTGGCCCAGATCAATATTTAACCAAACCCTAGAAGGAAATACTTATACGTCATTTAGAAATTCCTTGGAGTAATTAAGTTCTATTCCTTTTCTCCCGTAAGCATCCGTTGGTCCTTGTTCTTGCTTTCGGAAATTTTCATCTCATCGAATTCATCGCATTTAAGAACAAAAATCTGGTATGTTAGAATTTCCCTTTCATGGCATCCTTTCTTCTTATTTTTCAATTGGCACACATTAGTAATGGTTTTGTCAATTCAGTTGCTTTTGCTAGAGATTGGCGTGACTGAAAAGTTTTCAGCCAAAATGGTTTTGTTTTAGTTAAACAAATTAGGTCGATTCGAGTTTAAGTGGATTTTTTGGTATTTGAGTAATTTAAATAAGTTATAATCTGAATGGCTTGGAATCTAGTAACTTCCTTCATAAATCAGAAGAACCATATGCATCAACGTTGTAAGAATGCTTTGTAACAAAAAAAAAACGATTCTTTATGTGCAAGACTGCTACTGCGGTTTCACTTCGATTTCAGAGAAAGAATTATTACTTCTTAATTCTTATGTGTTAAACTATATAATCCCTTGAAAAAAAAAAAAAATTATTCAAAGCATCTGAAGTGAATTTTATTGAATACGATTAGGCTAATCGGATTAGCTAATGTACGAAGTATTAAACCATTTTTCAAATTTGAGTTCAAAATTTTTAAACCTTCTAGTATGCCTTGTTTAATCAAAATTCATAAATCTTGAACTCTAATTTAAGGCGTAGTGAGCTCCAATTATACCCGTTTTTACTACGGTTGATTTCCTCAATTGATTTAAGTTTAGCAAGGTCAACTAAATTTTTCCTTCTGGTTAGTATGTCTGGTAGAAATTAAAGCCTTAGTCGTATAACCAACTTTCGCACCCTGGCATACTCTTATTTTATAATTACATTTAATTAAAGATTATAAAGGAAGAGCTTACCAGAAGACGTTATCAAGGTGTCACACTTATCTGAGTATTTTGAGTTCAGCTTCTTACAGGTAAGTTCACTACCACCTGTACATGTTTGTTCAACCAAATGCAAGAAAGAAGTCTGGTTCATTTTTAATAGATAATTTTAGACTATTTGTTATTATGTGAACTATGTGAATTATGTGATGAGTTATGTTATTTGCTAGATTAAGTTATGTTTATTATCTGGCATAGTCAAGATTTGTCAGTACTTTTGTTTCAGAATTAATGATGTTTTTAGTCAAACGTCACCATAAAAAGAACTAATACTTAAAGTGAAAGATCAGGTGATATGTACTCGGGAACAAGTTCCCTCAGTTTATCAGTTATCAGCTTATCAGTTTCAGAGAGTCCGATATGTTTAGTGGGTCGCTCCCCTGAGCTGTCGGATTGGCGCCTTTGAGTACATATCACGGGCCCACAGTTAAAATTAGCCACAAAGAGTTTTACAGAAAGTTTATGAGATCCCCTTCAGAGAGTTTTACAGAAAGACGTTTTTGAGATCTCTTTCAGAAAGTTTTACAGAGATGTTTGAAAAAGATATTTTGAGATCTCTTCAGCAGTTTTGAGAAATTATTTTAGAAAAATATTTTCCTTTTGAGATCTCACTCAGAATGTATTTGAGAAGTTATGTGTTAGTTATTTGTTCAGTGCATGCTTATAGCCTAATTTATCTATTGATAAATTGGCCTAGACTTCTAGATATTTTTGTGGAGCCATAGTGACTTACTAAGCGTAAAGCTTATCAGTTTTCTTTCTTCGCATGTACAGATACTAAGGGTAAGGCCAAGGCCTAGGAAGATGACGAGGGAGTGGAACGCGTGCCAAGATGAGTTAACGGGAACGACCTTGGTGGCTTCTAGCTAGATAATATTTGGTTTCAGTATTTCAGTTTTATAATAAAGTGACTTATATTACTTTATTTTTTTTTATTTGAGGATTGAAGTTTTAGCAAATTCCTGGATCCAGGTGGTTATCACATGTGCTGGTGATAACTATATTTTATTGAGTTTTTATCAAGAGTTATACTTTAATTATATTTGAGATTTTATCAGGGCTATTTTCTTAAATAGACGGCCGTTAATTGTAGTTGTTTTTAAAAGTAGTAAGTTAGTGTAACGATTCCTTTAACCCTGAGAGGGGCGTTACAAAATCGTTTTCTTAATGATTTGAAAAGTAATGATCAGTCCTCAGGCATTCTGCAATCCATAACTAATGGACTTGCACAACTATGGCTAACACTGCCTGGAAGTCCAAAGAACAGTCCTCCCGTCCTCCCGTCCGAGGTGCTGTGGAAGAAGGCTTCGTTGGTTTTCAGGTGGAAACCGATTCGGCTATGGTGATGGGAATGTTTAACGATGGGGAGGTTAGACGCTGGTCTGATATTATTCAGGAAACTACGCTGTTTGTGGAAAGGAATGGGCTGCGGCTTGGTCATGTTTTGAGAAAGGGGAATTGGTCGGCCCATTTTTTAGCTTCTGATCATTCGGGCCTATTTAAAAGATATTCAAGCCCAAATTCACTTCCCATTCGGGCCAGAAGGGCTTTCTTTATGGATAAATTTAGCATCCCTTCTATTAGATTTTAATCTTTTTAAGTTTTTCTTTCGTTTACAATTGGGTTAGGTATAGCCCCCCCCAATTGTTGTTTTATTATTTCTGATTTGTTGTGGTGTAAATTGTGCTGTTTTAATAAAATAATGGCATCTGACTCCCGGCATTTGCCCCACTGATTTTGGTGGTTTGCCTTCCGGGATAAAAAAAAAAGGTTGATCTTCTGGCTAAGACATACATACTCTGGGCTATACCAAATGACATCTATGTCCAAATTGAAAGCATGTAATTGAAATAGCTAAGGAAATGTGGGATGAAATCTATAAAATGATGCAAGGGACTGAACTAGGCATCAAGCTAAGGCTAAGCAGGCAAGCACTCTGACTTCATATGATGCATTTAAGGCTAGACAAGGTGAACCACTGGAAGAGACCTACAGTAGGTTTTTAACTTTGCTAAACGAGATGAGGAAAGTCAATGTCAAGAAGTCAAACATGGATATGAGCATTCATTTTCTTTCACGCTTGAACCCTGAATGGAAAAAAATTGCAAGACACATTCTCCAGAAAAAAGATCTTGAAGAAGTTGATTTGCACACCATCCATGATAACCTTAGACAATTCATAAGTGATGTTTCCGAGCACTTGTGATGAAGTCTCAATCCAAACGCCCATCCAAAGAACAGAAAGAAAATTTTGTAATGCCCACTCCAGTTGATGATGAAAGCAATGATGAGACTAATTCTGATTTTGAACTTGAAATCTACATAAACAACTGGCTCTTTTGACTAGCCAAGTGAACAAAAAGTTGTTCAGGAAAAAAAATTCATCAAACAAGTTGAGAACTTCCTCATCCAATTACAAATCAAAGGACAATGAATAGGAAAACTATGAGAAGCCAACTGATGAGCTACGAAAGTGCTTAAATTGTGCAAAACTAGGGCATCACATCAAAGATTTTTGGTTGCGAAAGAAGAGGGACTTCAATTACTATAAGCAGAAGATGTTCCTCAACAAACAAAAGATGCTTATGGCTAAGCAAGAAGATGAAAATGTTGCACTTTTGGATGAAAAAGGGCCATTTCCTTGATGACTCTTCTGATGAGGAATGTGAAAACATGGAGCTGATGGCCATTGTAGAGAAAAATGATGAAAAGGATGATAATGTGATCACCGACCAAGTAGAAGAATATATGTTGATGAAGTAAGTACTTCAGACTTTTCATGCTCTTCTGATTCTAGTTCTCTATGCTCACCAGATTTTTCTCTAATTGTGAAAGAGCTAGAGGAGATATTAGACAATAATCATAGAGCTTTGTTGAATTAGTTAGAAAAGGAATCAATCTTAATTGTGAAACTTAAGCAATCCCAGGAGAAAGTCAATAAGTTAACTCAAGAAACAAAAACCTTAAGGTTAAATATCTTTGACATTACTAAAAGATTGACTTTTCTAAACTTGAGCAAAACATGATTGTGCCATCAACAAAACTCTCTCTGAACAAAGAGACTCACTTTATTCCAAAGTTAAAGAACTTGAGGACTTGCTTGCAAAGCACGATCAAACAGACCAGACCATTTTTGTAAATCAATCCAAGGACACCTGTTTCTACATATTAAAAGAAGGGTTTGGTTTCTCTAACCCATGTCACTTGAACAGATTAATTTGTAGTTAACTTTATGATGTCAAGTATATGGGATTTGGACTAACCAAGCTAATGTCCTTTGTGAATGCAAAAGAAAATGAGGTTCTTAAGGATGTTAAAAGAAAGACCAAAGCAAGAGATGAAATCCCTTTTGACTATACTGAACATAACTAAAGTTACAAAACAAAAGAAAATTCTTTTTCTTCATACGAGGACTTGTCCTTTGATCCTCCTAAGAAGGAATATGTGCCAGACCAGGAAATACCTTCTACCTGACAACCTTTGATCGGAAAAGTTTACATCCCTCCTCTGATTCAAAGAATTACAGACCTAAGCACTTCTTTAGAAAATGAAAGAAAAAGTTTTGAATATGAAAAGGAAAGACTATTGAGTGAAATTACCATTTTTAGAAAAACCTCCCAGTCCAGGACGACTTCCTCCTCAACAAGCAATGCTTCTTTTGAAAAACTTTCTGATAGTCAAACTCATTGTTCTGAAAAAGTGTCCACTCACTTCGAGTCTCCTTTCAAAACAAGAAACCATGTGAGTAAGAGATCTGAGAGGAGAAGAGAGTGGATACAAGAGAGGAGAAGAAGAAAGGTTAGATTCAATACCAAAATGTTGAAGAATTTATGTACAGGGTATGAAAATAGTTACTGCTCTCTCACTCTACAAAGTAACGAATGTCTAGTACATATATTGCTCGCTTAGCCTAGGTCCCTATGTTTACGTAAGGCATCCATCCTTATATAGTTTTTGGAGCTTGCATACATATTACACAAGGTAATGGGCCTAAATAAACTATCAGTCCATATTAAATTAACTAAAGCTATTATAACACAAATACAAAGACACATAATAAGATTATTGATGGACCGTGTACCCGGGGGTAGCTTATCCGAGGCCCGAGGGGTTATTGCGGGAATAACCTAGAGAGAAGTCAGAGCAAACAAGTAGGAGAGAGAGGCGATTGTATTAATAAATTCGAGATGTTCTGGTCCTTTACAATGGGAAAAGGGGGTGCTATTTATAGTAGTAATAAATGCGATGAGAGTACACGTGGCGATAATCTAACGGCCGAGGGGTCTCCTCAATCGGGTGGCACTGGCATTCGCATGTGCACCGCATTGAATGCGGTGGGTGGATGTGACGTCGCATTAAATGCGGTGGTTGCTTGTCTCCAAAGGGAATCTTCGATGATTGAGTTGTTGGCCGAAGGCTCCCCCTTCGACCGAGGGCTTTGTGTAGCCGAAGGCATGGGAGTGCCGAAGGCTTCCCTGATGCCGAAGGCATCAAAGTGCCGAAGGCTCCTGTTTTGTGCCATTTTCTCCCAGTAGCTAATTTGGCTGCCCTGTGTAATTCGGAGCCCTCGGCCAAGGAGGCCGAAGGAACCCCAGTGTGTATTTTGGGCTTCTTTGAGACTTGGGCCGCTGTATTTGGGCCTCGAATGCTCCTTAGGCCCAATGGGCCTGTGTAGGAGTGGTAGGAGTCTATGGGCCGGGGGTCCCTGGGCCATATACTCCATCAGGAGTCCCCCACTTCTTTTGCCGAAAGGTACTTGAGGGAAAAAGGAGTAATTGTGTTGATGCGTTGTCTCCGCCGAGGGCTAATCTCTTTACCGAAGGGCGTTCCTGGTATTTGCCGAGGGCTTCCCATCAGTCCCCCACATGTCGAGGGTTTTCTGAGGGAAGCATAGATGAATTGCCTGCATGTGTTGTGATGGAGGCTGCTTCATTACTACAAGTGACTTGTGGAAAATTTTTGATATTCCGCTTCTGCCGAAGGGTATAGTAAAGCATGTACCCGAGGGGTTCTCCTTTGATGTTTGCCCGAAGGCTGTATGCGTTACTTGTAGATTTTGGCATTTGGGAATTTTTAGTTTTGTGTGATTCCCGAGGGGTGTATCCCAGTCACCCACTCCTTTAGACCGAAGGCAAGTTCGGGCTGAAGGAGTTTTATTGTGATGTATTACCCCGAGGGGTGTTGTTGACTGGGGAGTGGCAACATTGATAAGCCGAAGGCTTATGCTGCTACTTGCTCGAAGGCACAAGGTGACATATGTTCATCGGAGGCCATCATCCAAGTACGCTGGTGAGTTGCAACATTGATAAGCCGAAGGCTTATGCTGCTGCTAGCTCGAAGGCGCTTGGTGGAATTCGTTGGCTGAAGGCTGCGGTGAGTGATAGACGGGGGCTAGCATCTGAGGACACTCCGGTATTTCGGAAATGAAGCCGTTGAAATAGAGCCGTTGGAGGGGTGATCCACGTGGCGTGTTCTCGTTGGCTGAAGGGGGGCGGGTGCCACCCATTGGCTGAGGCGGCGGCTGGTAATGATGGGCCTTTCGGATCGAGGCCCATATCTCGAGGCTGGGAGCCTATAAATACCCCGGAACTCCAAGTTGTAAGGAATAAATGTAATTAGATTTTGATGATGCTAGGTTATTTAGATTAGAATTTTAGAGTACCCCCAATTAGATTTTGTGTATTAGAATTTTCAGTTGTAAGTATTAGTATAGTCGACGATCAGAGTTGCTCTTTTTTGGAACTGATCAGAGCTGCTATATGAGAACTGCTTTCAGAGTCTCTCTCAGAAATCATGAGAGTTGCTCATCAGAGAACCATCAGTGTTGCTCTTCAGAGACTCGTCAGAGGTCTACATCAGAAAGACATCAGAGTTCGATGAAAAAGCTTCATCAGAATTCAACTCCAGAGAAGCATCAGAGTTCCCACACCAGAGCTCTACTTGAAGCTACATCAGAACTACTCTTCAGAAAGCCATCAGAATCCAACGTATCAGAAGACTCCGATCAGAGTCCGACTCACACTTAGAAGAATTTCAAAGCTACTTCCAACGGCTGGGAAATCCATCAACGGCTAGAAGATATTCCGTCCAAGGAAAGTATCTAATGCTCATTAAATGAGCCTGATACGCTTTGGATTGATTGCAAATGATTGACCGAGAAATCTGGAAGATATATTATAAAAATAGAAAGCTTCCAAACCAGTGGTCAAGTCAACAGTACGTGCATTTAATGCAGTTGTCTCCTCCTCCAACGGGCAGACAACCCCAGTATATAAGCTACACACTGAAGAAACAGGAACAGAACTTTGCTACAACTTTTGCTCATCATAATTCAAGCTCTCTTGAGATTCAAACTCCACATTCATCAACAAGACTAGCTTACGTTGGGAAGACTCAGATTCTCATTCTTCAAACCCAACACACAGCAAAGTTCATCCTGTTCTTCAACACTTCAAGAACTTCAACTACATATCTTTTGTAACGAAGCTAGTTGGAGAAAACTCTGTTTTCAAAACATCTTCTGCAAAGAAGGGCGTCCAAGTAACTGCAGCAGTGAAGTGGTGATACTTCCGGGAAGCTGAGTGAAAGGATCAGTCATCAGGAAGCAGGACTGCATCCCGGGTGACAACTAGGCTTGAAGAAGGCGTGGAGAACTTCTTAAGTGCTAGGGACTAAGGCGTTGTAATTGATCCTTACAAGCTTAGTGGAACAGTGGACTAGAGGAACGAGTTGTTCCTTGAACCACTATAAAAACT